TTTAAAACTGTTTCCTGCTTATGTTGAACCCTTGTCCATTTCATTTCTAAGCTGCACAAATGAAAAGCATAAATTGGAAGAGCAACAGCAATCATGCCAAGATATGCAAAATACAATAATTAAGGGATTCACTGTCTTCAAAATCAGCGTTTCCTGCCCCACTAACAGATAATATCAACTTGGATAGTAACTCTCGTTGCTGACTGAACTGCCTGTTCTCTACATTTGCTCTCTTTGTTCGGATCAACGTGGGGGCGCTGGAGCTGATGCCCATCTCCATGTGCCGCCCTYCCTTGGACACAAAGCTCTGTAAGGCGACAACTCCCAACATCTAAGGACATTTAATGGGAAGTGGGGCATCAAAAGAATAATAAAAATAGACAGAATTACTTCCCTTACAACAGGGCATGTTCAGTACTGCATAACCCTCCTCGGGTTGGGGGAAATAATTCCTCATCGGTTAAACATCTGGAACTCCCTCACTTTTCTCTTTGTCCAGGCATGACAGCTGGATATTGAGGTAGGAAATTCAAGGAAACATCTGGGTCTTTGTGACTTTCTTTACTTGAGTTTTCATCCCTCTGGTCTGTAATGTGTCAGGTGCTTATCACCACCTCCCAGAGCTCAGTACCGTGTAGATTTAGACCCAGAGGCAAGTCCAAAACGGTGCCCCTGCCAACTTAAATTTTTGCCCTGACCAAGCAGCCCGAGCAGGGATTGCTCAGGCAGCCTAGCTGTCCTGCTTGTGAAAAGCACCCTCCATAGACACCCCAACCAAGGCAGCTTCTCACCCAACTGTGCTTCCATCTGCTTCTGAACTGGCACTGGATTGCTCAGGCTGCACATCTGTGTTGGCCTCTTACCTTGTGCTCCTGCCGTAAGCCAGTTCTTCATCCAGGGTTTCTAATGGAAATGTGGCTATTGAGTCTTTGAAACTGTGAACAACTTAACTGGGAACAGTTTTCACTCGTCCCCTCTTTGCAGGCAACTTAAAATTGAAACCCATTCACACTGGAGTTAATAATGGTCTTCAGGGAGYTAGTCTGAATATTGTGCCTAGCTCTGCTTTCACGAGGACCTTCTTTTAGCTATGTGTGTATCACTGAAATACAGACCTTCCTCTTATAGCTAGCACTGACCTGTAGTTATTAATAACTTCACTCCTCCAGGACCAAGAGCTCATCTGGAGAGGCATCAAGGAGCATCAGAAGAAGTGGMTATTAGGAGCTGCCAAGGATGCTGACTCACAACTGCCAGTAATTTTACATGGGAACCCAGCACCTCCAAAGAACTGTCAGATGTCATTTTAGAAAGCCAGAAGTGAAATATGCATTAGCCGTAAAGTTTCTCTTCCCCCTTCAACACCTATTTAAGCTTACTTGTGGTTGAGACATGGGTCTCCAATTTCCTGGTCACAGAGGGGGCCTGTCCAGCCTGGGTGACATTCACAAATCACGCTGGTTTTCTCGAGGGACCGGCAGATGCCATGTTTGCAGATATTGCAGGATTTGCAACCAGGAAAGACTCCCAGCGACTGCTGTGGTAAATCCTTGAAATCCTGCAGCTCGTTGTTGATGCGGACATCGTGAATACAGCCGTGAAAACCGTTTGGGGTCTTATCTGCACCCTGGCGCAGTGAAGATAATCCAGTAGAGGTTGGGATCCCTTCAGATAAAACAAAAAGGGAAGGCTTACTCACAGGTACAATGATAAATTGGCAAATTAGAATTGCTCACATTTATTTGCCACAGCCTCCGTCTTGTAATCTTTAAAGAATTAATTTTCATGCATCCTTTGTAAGGCAGCCCAGCGCTACTGTTCTCATTGTGGAAATGAAAAGGTATAAAAATCAAATCGCTCCCCCAAGCTTACATAGGACAGAAAAAGAGAAGAAAAATGGAATCAAAACAAAAATCAACCATACACAAAAGCTCTGGTTTCCTGACTGTCACATATGTTCTTGTCCTTCTGTCTATAGCTCTACAGTAATTATCCTCCTGGAAGGTTTAAGAGCATCTCGGCAGCAGGCAGTGACCGCCTGTGGGGTACAGCAAGACCCCAGCTAACGTTTCTCCACCACATAGYTAAGGCGGGGACTGATCCCACTGAAACCAGCACAGGGGGACCTCAAGGCAGAGACCAGCACCCCTGGAGGCAGGATGGGACCCTGGGCTGGCACCCTGCACCCCTAGGCGCTTCAGAAGTCCCCCCAGGCCATGCAGGGCTCTCACACTGAGCCCCATTCAAGCTGTGCAGCTGCATTAGCTCAGTCACGGTTGTTTTCAGCTGCCCAAAKCCTCTGAATTTTGCTTCCCATCAGGAATTCCATTTTAAAAGACAGTTCTTAAACCCCACATTTGCTTAACTATGCTTTAGGGGGAGAATTGATGGACCAGCTGATGTAGCTGGGGAGATGGACAAGATTCTGGACACGTGAAGCCTCAGGTGAGTCTTAGATGGGCTGAATAACGATTAATGAAGCTTAGGAAACATTGCTCGGAGAAAATGTAATTAATTACATTAACTAAGCAGTCTGAGGGGGAAGGGTGCAGCTGCCAACCACAGGAATGCKAAACGTGGACACTTGGCCCATGCTGCAGGTTGACAAAGAATTCAACAAGACTGTATTGGGTGCTAAAAAGTCCCCACTGGGCGCACAGCTACTGGCATCCAAGGCAGTTGTTCATCTCAAGTCTCAGATTTGTCCTGCAAAGACATTTTTGTAGGTATCTTTTGAGAATTARTATTGATCCACAAGGATCATCCATGAACAAAATATTTCTCACTGGATTACTTCCCAAATTCTCTGTAAATGAACTGCCTGTTGTTAGTATCTTTCACCCTCAACTAGAGGGAGAAGTTGCATACCCTCAATACAAAATTAATTTTGATGCTTAATGCTTTTTAATAATCTGTGACATTCCAAAAAGGAGCCAATTATAAAAATTCAACTCTGCCCAAAGCAGGATTAGCCAGTTTTCTRTTTACAAGGGTAATAAAAATTGTTTTGGTAAAGGGTTATTAAAAGGAATTTTCTACAAAAGGTTTGACTAGCACCCAGCTGATAAGAGTTTCTAACTTGGCTTCAATAGTCCAGGGTCAAAAAAAGCCCAAAGACTTTCCCAGTCTATTATAGATCTGCTGAGTATTTTTATTTAGAACAGTCTGGGTAGAAAAACAAGCACTCCAGGTCACAGAAAAGGGGAGATTTCAACATTCAGTCCAGAATGGAACTGGKGGGTTGGGGTGTTCTAGGAAAGACAAAGCAATTGTGCAGAGCACAGACTTCAGCCTCTCTCTCTCATATCYAGACACCTTATCAGGGGGATACTTGTTATTCTGGGCATCTGCTCCCCACCCTACTTGGCCCCTCTTTTCCTACAAATCGAGTTCTGATCCTGCTGTACAGTGGCTGTGCTCCTCTCAAAGGTGTTTTCACTTCTGTCCCACCTAAATCCTTTCCATAGGATGGAAGGTSATCTGCATGGACTAGTCACCCTTTMAACCCAAGTCAAGAGCAACTGGTCRTACCTCCAATGTAGAGAGGAGTGTTGAGGTTCACTGAAGATTGTTTCTGGAGTTTTCCTAGACTCTTGGGGGTCCCCTTGTCCACCACTAGGTTCAGAGTTTGATTCAGCATCACCAACTCGACACTATGGAACTGCCCATCGTTTACTGTTTCCACACTAAAAATAAAAGGTAGAAAAGAGTGAATTAGAAGATCACATCACCCATGATTATGCCTGTGACATCCTGTCTCCTACTATTACTCTTTGAAAAGAATACCTCACATTCACATTCCTTTGTGAATAGTTTCCTCAAGGCTTCTGCCAGAGTCTCCAAGGTATAAAGTCCAGCACGACGACTCCTGCACAGACATTACCTACACATATATAACACTGGAGAGGACTGCAGATTACTGTGTGTGAGTAATGAATCTCTCATTCACTCACGAATTTCATGAGTGAATTTCATGAATTTCATGAATTTCATGAATTTCATGAATCACTCATGAATTTCATTCAGAATTTGTGCTTGCACACACGCTCAGGCTGCTTCGCAAACTACCACGGAGCCATCCCAGCTGCCCCACACGGTCAGCACAGCGCAGGGCAGAACACAAGTGCTGTTCCCAAGCTGTGATGGCCTTGGTGGCAAAATTACCTCAGGAAAGACCTCCTGTTCTCTGCCCTCAGCCACAGCCTGCAGACCTGTCGTGCTGCCCACATCGCTGCCCTGATCGTTAGTGTCAACTCTGAGCATCTCACATGCAGCTGGGGACAGCAGCGTGGGGCAGGAGCAAGCAGGGCCTTCAGAAAGTAGCTTCTCCTCCAAAAGAGAGGAAGATGTAAAGCCAAAGGAGGAATTTAGGACTCGGAGATGTGAAAATGACGGGGATACTTCAGTTCAGACAACACAGTCCCACCTGAACACAAGGAAAACCAACAGATTGCTACTCCTCTTYGAGAAGCGTTTAGAGGTAGATTGATTATAACAGGACAAAAAGTGTTCCTATGAACTAGCTATCTCAGCTGGCAATATATTAAAGACACAGTTTATTATGGCTTGGGTATTCTGAGTGGTGTTTTTCAAGCCTATTAGGCCCGCAGTCCGTCAGGCAGCTCGGCAGCWGTTTGCCAGTCCGTACCACATACAGTCTACACTTGCATTTGGAGGTGCAGGGCTAGAATTCAGCTTTTACCAATCAAACACATTTTCCAAAGAGCTCTTGAGCATTTACAAATGCTGCATGTTGCAGTTCTCCCAAACACCACCACAGTTTCATTGCACCTAAAGCAGGAAGAGACCAAACAGAGGGGCAACAGATACACACGTGATGACCTGCTCTGCAGCAAAGTTTCAAATTCTAATTGTATTTCTAGAAACGATGGGACTTTTCCATTGCTGTAAACGCAATGAAACGTTACAGCCTCTGTTCCACACGCACRCAAACACTAATGTATAATGAGACTCTAATAGCAGTTGTGGTTGAAGCAGAAGTTAAGCTGTGGCTACGTAACCTGCCTGCATGTTCAGTGCGGCCAATACATTTGGAGCTTGGCTTGAGTGCATCCCTTTCCACGGATTCCTCCCGGCCAGCTTGCGAGCCGAGCGGCRCTTCTGTTATGTAAGGATGCAGGAAAAAATACCCATGTGAGATTTAGACATCGTGAGATGCTGCTTGGCTGGAAATCTAGACTGGGCATTTCATTTCTGCTACTGCACTCCTGTACTTGAATTTTCTGTATTAAGGCCCAAACATCCGTCAGAGAAATTTTAAGGTTCACACCTCAAGGTTGCAAACAGCTGGTCCAGACTTTGTGCTTCAGGATTCCTGAATTCTGCTAAGGATCTGCCCCAGTATGGGAAACAGCTGTGTTGTCAGCGCAGCCTGGATGAYCCCCATGTCCTCGCTGCTGATCTAACTGTGGTGTTGCAATGCTTACTTCATACGTTCCAAGTACTGAGATTTTCAGCTGAAAGGTGCTAGATAAATGGAAATGCCTATTTGGGTTAGTGCATGCAGAAGTGCCAGCGAAAGGAAGAAGAACAGCCAAAACCCCTTGGCTCTGACAGCTGTGTGCTGAGGAGCTGGGAGGAGGAGCTGTAGGACAAGGACCCCTTCCCACTGCTGGGATCAATATCTGGGGCTAACACACAGAACTACATCCTTATCTGGAGGAGGCCAAGCCGTGACCATTTGTCAGAGGACAGCRTTATCACAATTGGCAGCGCTCGCTCGTCCCTGGGCCAGGATTTCACAGGCATTAATCACCTACTCCCCCACAGCATGTGCTTGCTCCAGATTATGCACCAGAGCCCTGACTAATAGGCAAACAAAAGCCTGTGTGTCCTGGCAGTGCAAGCGGCCGCCCCACGCAGCGGTCCCGCTTTTCGGCAGACCCGGAGCTAATGTTTGCACTGGGAAAGCAGAGAGGTGCTTCCAGCTACAGGTACCGGTGGTGAATATTGCTCAGGTCTAACTCTTATGCTTTTTAACTCGTATGAGATGTGAAATATTTTATGTCTATAGCTTGAGGAACAGAAGGCTAAGCCATCAGCCAGCACTGCAGCTCTGCAAAGCAGATAAAGGCCGAATGGGCAGAGCACTCATGTGCTTTTTAAGACACTAACACATGATGGAAGAGCTGAACATGGATGGCCAGGATGGCAGAAAATCCCCAGATTCCTCCCGGCCTCCCTCCCAGCAGATACTTGTATTAAAGCTCTTATTGTTGTTGCTGACAACAACTTTTAAAAAGTAACTGCTCTTTGAGAGAGACTCAGACAGCCCTGGGGAGAAGCCAGCGGAGAGGGAAACACCAACTCTGCTCCGAGCCTCTTCCATAGCTGGGCCCWTAGGAGCCTCCGCAACCGTCTGAGACAGTTGGAGACAGTGGCTTGGCCAGAGATGAAGGGGAGGAAGCCACAGACGCTGAGCAGCACATCAGCACGCCGCTCCGAGCACAAACTTGCTGCACTCGCCTTTTCTACGCGGGGCCGCTTCCTGCCCCAGCTCCCTGCGAGGGTTTTATTAAAACCTTAACCGAAWCCTCCCTGGGGATCAGGTGGTCTTAGGGAGCTCATCCTCCTGYCGCAGCCTGTGCTATGTAAATACCTGTCTCCGAGCTGGGGATTTATTGYGTTCCGCAGGTAATCGCGCCCTGCAGCGGTGCCCTCCACGGGCAGAGATGTGGCCRGCGGGAGCTGCGGGATCGGGCGGGAAGCACAAGGTGTAAGGAGGACACGGCCCCGGCAAGGCCGGGGACAGGAGACCCACATCTCGCTGCGCAGCAGAACCGAGCGGGCCTCTGACCGCGAGAGGGAGACGGAGCCTCGCGGAAAGCGGCCGCGCGCTGCAGCGCAGCGGGGCCGCGGGCGCCTGCGGATGCATCCGAGCGCCGGCACAGAGCCCTGCCGCACTCCGGAGCCAGGCACAACAACCTGGTGCTGCACGTTTCTTGTGGCTTAGGRTTTATTTCCTACAGCAGATCTTGCAACATCTCTCACCTGACAGCTGATCTYGCACAACCCCTTCCTTCTGCAAAGGTTTCCAAGCTTCCCCATTCAATCCAAATGGTCTGTCGGAGCAAGGCACGGGAGAGGCGAAAGGAACAGGAGGAAGAAGCCAAACGGCTGCTGGATCTGCACCCATTTCCCTTTCAGGGGCACTGACAAAACCAAGTTCTGGTTTGGGAGATTTTCCAAACTATTAGAGAGTCATGATTTTTTTATCCAGCATAACTGCACTATTGTGGGCCACTACCACTGGAGATTATATACATACATGTGTATATATATATATATATATATATATATAGTTTTCTTGTTAAATAAAGGAAGGGATATGTTTAAGTGTAAATACTTGAAGCATAAGCAAGGATTTCCAGGAATTTAATTCAATAATGCAGCTTGCTGAACAATAAACAGTAAAAGGARCCAAAAGACCAGCTTTATATAAAACGGAAAGATTCTTGCTCGGACCCGGGAATGGCTTCGCTGACCGCAGCGAGCAGCTTGCTCAGCGCCCGCCTCACCGCAGACACCGCACAGAGCCTGTTCCCACAGCAGGGTCCCACCTGCACCCACGGTGCACCCACCAGCTTCGCACAGAGCAACCTCGCCACGACACAAGCAGCAGCTCGCCTCCCTCCTCGTCACCTCCACGTTCTCCCAGCCCACGTTACACACTGCGCACAATCCACGAAGGCATCCAGCTTTCATCCAGCTCATCCTTGCCTTTCACTGCTTTGGAGAGATGAGAGCTGTCAAAAACACGCAGGAAAACACTAAAACAGGGCTGAGATTGGTGCTCTTGCCAAGCATACCCCTGCAGCAGCAGCAGCAGCGCGCTCGGACACGAGTTTTAGATTTATTGTAATCTTCAAGCAGTGCAGTGTCCCCTCGCAGTGCACTGAAGCCTACATACAAAAATAACACCAAGAAAATAGTACGTATTAATCATCATCACCACTGAACCTCATATGAGAAATTACTGGAAGGCATCGCCTTTAACTGCTCATTTTAAGGTCACTTAAATTATAGCTTTAGCAGTTCCAAGCTCAGGCTATAGGTTATGATGTCTCCTTCAGATCTGGATAGCCTATTATTTTCACTGAAGATTCCCTGATTTCCTCTTTTCCTCACAGGTACATAATGACCCATCTAAGTCTCTAATAAAAGTCTCACTGGAGACTTATATTCCACAGAAGTCTTTGGATGTAGGTAAACGCTCCACAGGTTCTTCTACGTAGGCATCAGAAGCAGCCAAGCACTTCTGAAAGCCTCTGGAAATGGATTCAGATGGTCCAAATACTGTGCTGAGAAACCCCAAGAAAAAGCCCACAGGGGAAAAGCTGCCCGAGAGCTCAGCCATGGGAATGTCGCTCTCAGTTTCTGTGATCTGCTTAAGATTCCTGCAAATCACCTACAGATCAAACAAGCCACCAGAGCGGCACAGGGAAGAGGGAATAGACACGGGGACAGCCCAACTCCCAGAGCTCATGGGGACACTAGGGGTTCAGCCCCTTATGCTCCCTCCTTTAATGTATGCKTCCTCCTTTAATGTATGTAACATTAAAAACACAGCAAATATATATATAAAATGATTTTCTTGCTTGTTTTTGGTCTGTTTATCTTCTCCCTCCTGTATTTCCTTTCCCCTCTGCTTCAGCCTCGTACACAC